GGGAGGGAGGGAGGGAGGGACAGTGCACACATTGTGCATTTATTAGGCATTGCCTGACCTCTGGTGGGGTACATGGGAAGTGTAGAGCAGGACCTTTCTTTAAAAGCTTTGTATCTGTTCTCTTTGAAACTGAAAGAAACACATCCTGTTTGTTTTTCTAGAACTAGATTACCAACACATTGCCTCTAATCCCCACAAACTGAGATGATGGAATAGCATGTCTAGACTCACACAGCTAGTAACGTAGAACAGAGCTATCTAACTCAAAACCCATGTTGTTTCTTCTCTACCCTGACTGCACAGAATTGGAGTAAAAAATGGGGGAAGCAGGAACATGAGAAATGATCCAGTCCCTCATAAGGAAATTGGTTCCCTGACCAGTATTGCAGACTGCATTTCCACTCCATCATTTCATGGACTTTCTTTCTTTGGTCAAGTTGCCCAACTTTTTCTGAGCCTTATTTCCTAGCTATTGAGTAGAAGTAGTTATGTTTCTTCATATTATTGCTGGAAAAGCCCACTCACGTAGTAAGTGCTTTATAAAGATCCACCTCCTTACCCAGTTTAAAGAACTGTGTCACTGACTCATGGACTTATCCATAGATGCCTTGGAGGCTTTTCTCAGATACAAGATGGGTGTGCCAGTGTGCTTGTTACATGTCCAAAGGCGGTGTTGGGAGATGAGACCTGAGAAGGGTAAAGTTAAACACTGCTGTGGATGCACAGTTTCCTGCTGACAGTCATCCAGCATCATTGGTGGCACTCTGGGGCCTTTCAGGTCATTAGAGAAAACAGAGAATAGAGAGACTGTGCCAGCAGCTTTCCTAGAATGCCTGCCCCTCTGGGGACCCTCCCCATGCCTTGGGTTAGGCCTGTTACACAGATGATTGATAAATGCTTATTAGACTCTCTTCCCTTGTCTCACAAGAACAGCTGTGTGTGCTGGAGACATGATTCACTTTAACCTTGGTCTGTCAGTGACAGAATAGGAAAGTTTTGTTTGGTTTTTTGTTTTGTTTTGTTTTTTGAGATAGGGTTTCACATAATCCAGGCTGGCCTCCAACTCACCATGTAGCTAAGACTGGCCTTGAACTCATGATTTTTTTGCCTCCACCTCCCAAGTGCTGGGATTATAAGTGTGTGCCACCATACCAGACTGAGTTTTACAATTAATTTTTTTTTCTTGTATGTGATGTATGTATGTAGTGTGTATGTATGTATGTGTGTGTGTGCATGTGCACATGTGAGCACATGCATGCCATGGTGCCTCTGTGGAGGTCAGAGGACAACCGCAGATGTCAGTCCTCTTGCCTTCCACTTTATTTGAGGCAAGGTCTTGTTCACTGCTGTCTATGTCAGACTGGCTGGCCTTCAAGATTCTGGAGAGTCTTAGCCTCTGCCTCCCATTTCACCATAGGCATACCAAGGTCACAGATATGTGAAGTGCATCTGGCTTCTACTTAGGTTCTAGGGATTCCAACTCTAGTCCTTACATTTATGCAGCAAGTACTTTATCCACTGAGCTATTTTCCCAGCCCAGGCTTTATATTTATAGTGAATACTTATATATCTACCATGTGCTGGTCATTATTACAAGCATTTTAATAAATTTTACCACTGCAATCCTCATAACAGCCCTCTGAGATTTATATTTGTTATTATTATCATCGTTATTATTTTTCAAGTAAGGAAATTGAGTCAAGGAGAGGTTTGGGCCTGTGGTATAAGTTGTCACATGATGCCGGGTGTGGTGGCACACACCTTTGATCCCAGCACTTGGGAGGCAGAGGCAGGTGAATCTGTGAGTTCAAGGCCAGTCTGGTCTACATAGTGAGTTCCAGGCAGCTGGGACTCTAGGGAGACCAGGCCAGCAGCAGCAGCAGTCCGTTAACAGGATCACTGGACTCTGCCAGGATGGCTTTCCTGTTGTACTGAACCTGCTGACCAAAGCTGTCTTCCAGACTCTTGGACACTGCCTGGGGGAATCCGCAGCTGGGACAGGCCAGCTCTGCTGTGCTTGATTGTGATTAATACATGTTAGACGAGCCATGCTTTTTAAGGCTCAGGCCAGTTGGCTTTCTCCTGGACATCCCTTCCTCTCACAGGAAGCTTATTTTTCTTTCTCCCCTCATCTTTTGTGCAATTTGTCTGATTTCAAGACTTCTTTTGTTAGGAGTCTTTCTTTAAAAAAAGGCTTTACATGCTGGCAGCCATACTATAATGGCCTAACAGAAGTTGCTATTTCAGTGTTATTTTTAAGATTAAATGTGGCAATCCAATACACAATATAGCACATAATGTCAGTACTATTTTCCCTTATTTCTCCCTAAAAATAAAATCATCATGTCTGATGAGTAATTTGGTCTATAATATAGATAGAAAACTTTATAAATGTAAGAGTAAAAATAAAACTACATTTTACTGTGCCTTCTATGCATTGCCTTTACTAGAAAGGATATATTCAGTTGATACTACTCTAGAATGCACAAAGTATGTGGTCTGCAGGGTTCCAAGGCCCTTTGTCTCAGGTGGTATTTGGCAGCTGTAATATGTGGGTTGGAGGAACTTGGTGGTGTGGAGTCTTAGAACACAGTTGCCACCTGGTGCCTACTCAGCCCCAGGCCAGTACTCAGGCTTCCTCCACACACTGGGTCAGCTCCTCCACATTCTTTTGTCTTTGCAGGTAACTCTGGACCTGTCCCAGCACCAAGGCATAGTGGTGCGCAGGGTCTTGAACACAGAGGACGACGTGGTGAGAAAGTTTGGTGTCACTGATTTTCCATCTTGCTACCTGCTATTTCGGAATGGCTCTGTCTCCCGAGTCCCTGTGTGAGTGAGGTATCCCCCCATCTCCTCCCTTCCTGTGCTCATCCTTCCTGCCTAGAGAGGTCACAGTCATGGCAGACAGGTTCTTTCTCCCTGAAGATTCTTCTGAGAACTGAAGGAGCATCTCAGTAGGAGAAGCAGATGTCTCTGTGTGGGGCAAGGCCTCCAGCCCTGCAGCTCAGGGTTCATGCCTCAGCCTTGAATGCTTCTAAACCATCCACACTCAGCCCTGGCCCTGTTCCTCATCCTCCTCTGTCCACATACAAACTCATTGGAAGGCTGTAGGTCTGGCAAGAACTCAAACATGCCTGACCTCCCCTCCCTTTGGTTTTCTAATTGCAGAAAAGTTCATTAGGAGCCAGACAATAGCCTGTTCCAAAATGTCGAGAGAAAACAATTGAACTAGGCTTAGCCGTGCTGTCAGGCTCCTGCTGCTGAATAGGCCATTAAATGGTGCCAGATGGTGCCTTGGTACCCTCCCTGGGCAGATGATTGATGTCAGCCTGGACCTGCAGGCAGAAACTAGGAGGGGCTAGGGAGAGCAAGGCTATCATAGGTACCCTATGAGCTGCTCCTCAAGGCCACTAGTATCACCCTGCACTGAGGCTAGGCAAGGCAGTCACTTGCCTTTGCCTTAGCCCAGATTGCCAGGTGCCCCTGGGCCAGGCCTGTCAGACTCTGTAAGCATAATAGCCACAAGGGGACTGGGAGGGCTAGATCCTGGGCAAGCCCTAAAATACCAGGCCTGGAGGGGAGAAGAGGCATTGTTTTCTCACTTGGAGTTGGTGGAGGAGAAAATTGTTTGTGATGATGCCACTCCTGAACCATCTGCTCATCGATAGACATTGAACCAGGATGGCAGAACGGGCAAGCAGTGCTCCCATGGGATATCCTGTCACTGATGGTGGGCTTGGCCAGCCCCTTGTGAGGAAGAGAGTTTGTACTCAGAAATATTTTCTGCCTTTGAGACTCCTTATCCAGATAGAGAAATCAGAAAAATTTGATAAAACCTGGTTTCTGTTGTTGATGTTATTATTTTTAAAATCACATATCAAGCTGGATGTGGTGATATACACCTTTAATCCCAGCACTCTGGAGGCAGAGACAGGCAGATTTCTGTGAGATCAAGGCCAGTCTGGTCTACACAGTGAGTTCTAGGCCAGCTGGGGCGACGGAGAGATCCTGACTCAAAACAAAACAAAATTACTTATCAAACTCCTTTGATTTCCTTGGGGAATCATGATACCTTGTGATATACTAAAGCAAGCTTGTGGGTGGGTGGTCTTGAGGATAGTCACCTTTTGGTCTATAGGGAAGACAGTCAAACTCAGCCATTGCAGTCCATGGGCAGAAGTTGGGGTTGGTGTTTTTATTTTTGTCTTTGTGGTACTGTGGACCCAACCCAGGACTTACATAAGCAAGGTAAGGGCTGTGGCATTGAACTGCATCTGCAGTTCTCCATGGCAGAATGAATACTGTTCCCAGAGGGGCACCTACCCTCCCATGTGCTCTGCCTCAGCCTGTTTAGATCATGGCCCTGCCTGGAGCCAGAGGGCAAGTTGAGTATTCTCAGGCCTACCTGCTTTTCTAGATAGGGGTTCTATATCAGGTTAATGTCAAAGAGGGTTTCCACAGCATGTGGGTGAATGGAAAGGTTAAAGTGAGGCATAGGAATCTTGATTTTTGGCTTCACTAAAGGCAAGATGAAACCAAGTTTAGATATTTCTTTCTATGCCTTCCTTTCAGATGAGCCACTTTGATTCCTTTCCTGACATTGGTCAGCGCTGGGATTTATCTTTTATTCTTACTGCTTTCCCTTGCTTTCTTTCCAGGCTGGTAGAATCTAGGCCTTTCTATACAGCCTACCTGCAGAGGCTGTCTGGACTTACCAGGGAAGCACCCCCAACCACAGCTGCACCAGCCACAGCTGATAAGATAGCACCCACAGTATGGAAGTTTGCAGACCGGTAAGGGCACCAAGTTCTCATACATCCTCACCTCTTTGATATATCTCCACCACTCCTCTGATCACAGGCCACATCCCTTTTACCCACACTGTCTTGTTCATTCCTTTTCCTGTCATGGGTATAGCCTACATCTGCCCCTCCATGGCTGATCTGGGTTTGTTTTTGCTTGTTTGTTTTTGTCTTTGTGGTACTAGGAACCCAGCTGAAGCCTTGCATAAGCTAGGCAGGAGCTATGCCATTGAACTGCATCTCTAGTTCTTGATAGCAGAATGGATGCTGTTCTCTAAAGAGCCCACCTGCCCTTCTAGGTGCTTTGCCTCTCTAGACTGTGGCCCTTGCCTAGAGCTAGAGGGCAAGTTGAGTAAGACCCAGCTAAATAGTGGGCCATTGTAGGAGGGGTCCTGACTGCCAGCCATGCTCAAGAGGATCTTGCTGAGTGGGAGTACCACAGTTAACTGGTAGCCTGTCCTTCGTCTGTGCCAGGGCTTCAGTGCTGAATGTGGGATCTACTAGATAGCATGATACATTAGCCTTCATATAGAAGGAATGCTGTCTAGTACCCACTTTGCATAAGCTTAACTTTACTCAAGAACAAGTAGAAGCCAGGCATGGTGGCAGGTGGCACACACTTGTAATTCCAGCATTTGGGAGGCCAAGTCAGCAGGATAGGGAAGTCCAGGCCAGTTTAAGCTAAATGGAGGGGGCAGGCAGAACCAAGAGAGACCAGAAGAGGGCATTGGATCCCCTGAAACTGGAGTTGTTTGCCACCATAGTGTGTTGTGAATCAAGCTCCAGTCCTCTACAAGAGCATCCAGTGCCCTTGCCCACTGAGCCACCTCTCCAGCACCTCCCTCTTTTTAAAATTTTTATATATTTATTTATTTATTTATTTTTACATATAAGCTCTTTTTTTGGCTTTTCGAAACAAGGTCTTCCTGTAGCCCCAGCTGGCCTGGAACTTGCCATGTAGCCCATGCCAGCCTTAATCTCACAAAGATCTGTCTGCCTCCTGAGTGCTGGGTTTAAAGGTATGTGCCACTGTTCCCAGCCTTACATATCAGCTCTTAAAAACAAATTGCTGTCGGCCACCCTAGTTCCCCAGCTTTGGTGGATAGCTAAACCTTTGATCTTTCACTTTTGCTGAGGGCCAGCTTTTTCAGACCTTGTGTATGTGCACTGTCAGTTTGTTTTTCTGTCCCTAGAAGTTTCATAGAACAGAATGAAGCTCAATACCATTGTGTGAGGGTAAAGCATAGGTAGTCACTACACTAAACTTAGTGGTTGCCTTTGTTAACTCAATAGGAGAGGTGCAGTCCCTGCTCCCAGACTGGAGTTACCCAGCTTCATTTGAATGTGTCAGGTGTCACTACTTTTCCAGACAGTGCTTGTCTTTATGTGCAATTGTGTGAATTGTGTGAGAAATCTGCTTTTTGTGTGAAGCTCCTTGGCTTTGCTTTTATAGTAAACATCCTGTTGTTATGCAGGGAAATGGAGCTATAGACCTCTTGGCATTGGTACCCAGCTACATACTGAGCAAAGATGCCTGACTAGGTAGCTCAGTGCTGACTCAAAAATGGAGCCTCCAATTCAGGGATGCACAGAGAACTGAGGACATGAGTTCAAATCCCCAGTACCCATATAAAAGCCAGATATGGGGTACCCATGATGGTGTATCTGTAACGAGGTATGGAGACAGGTAGATCTCAGGGACTCACTAGCCAGCAGGCCTACCTGAAAACAGTGAGCTCTGGGTTCAGTGATTAGCCTGTCTCAAAAAATAAGGTGGAGAAGCCACTGAGGAAGACATTTCAATGCCAACCTCTGGTCTCCAGAGGCATCTACACAGGTAAGAATACCCTCACACAAGTACATACGCAACACACACACACACACACATGACAATGATCATTTTTTATCAATCAACCTTCCTTACATCTCATCCAATCATGAAGCCACTTCCTGAGGGGAGGTAAACTGAGGCTGGAGGAAACCACAGTGAGGACTTTTCCTGAGGGTGAAGCATAAGTAGTTACCACTCAACCTTGGTGATTGGTTTATTTGAGTCTATACCTTTAGGAGGTAGAGTGATTGGTTGACTTTACAGGTGAGGTAGCTGAATCCCAGAGAAATAGAAGTTGCCTAAGCTTACAGAACTAGCTCACTATTGTGCTGAAGCCAGAACCCCTACTCTCAGGAGGCAGGAGTAGAAAGGTAGCCAGCAATCAAGCTGTTCCCAGAAGAACTTAAGCCAATCCCATGGAAGCATGGTGGACTTGGGAAGGCACAGCTGGCTGGGGAGGTATGAGACCTGAGGCCTGGCAGCTGTGTGCACATCAGCCCTGAAAGAAATAGTTTTCTTCTCCTATCCCTTCACCACCCAGCCCCTAGACTTGGTGGGTAGCTTAACTCTTGGCTTTTTACTTTCACAGAGGGCCACCTTTTCCAGAGCCTTATGTGTGTGCACTGCTGATCTGTCTGTCTGTCTCTAAGAGTCTTTGCTCAGAACAGAATAAAGCTCAACCTTCCACTAATGGCTAGCTGAGTGCGTTACAGAAGAGACTGGCTCTGGGCCTGGAGAGGAGAAGGTCTTACTCCCTATCAGGAATTTCTGAGAGGTTTACATCTGTGTTTTTATTTAGTCCTCTTAGAAACCTACCTTTGAGCAGTATATTATTCCTACTATAAAGATGAGGAATTGAGGCCCAGAGAGGGTAAGTTACTTACCCAAGGCACTCAGCAAATTGCTAGCAGAGCCAAGTGCTAGCATGTGAGACTATGACATCAGCAACTCCTTCCTCTTCACTCCCTTCACTCCTCCCCAGCCCTTGCTCTGTGGTTAATGCCCCCTTTTCTTCTGCTTCCTCTTGACCTTCAGCTCCAAGATCTACATGGCGGACCTGGAATCTGCATTACACTACATCCTACGGGTAGAAGTGGGCAAGTTCTCAGTCCTGGAGGGGCAGCGTCTGGTGGCCCTGAAAAAGTTTGTAGCAATATTGGCCAAGGTGAGCAGGGCCACAGCTTCCTTTGTCTCTGTAGTTCCGTATGTGATCAGTGTGCATACCCAGAAGTCACACACACAGCAGCCTCTTCCTTGAGGAACTCAGGGCCTGACTAGACACCTGGGTCCACAGCTATCCAGGTCCCACATAGACGGCTACCCTCTTCTTACCCCCACATGCCACACCAGGTCCACACTGCCAGAAACCTCCCCACCTCATGTCAGGTGAGGCAGGGAGAAGGACACAGGGCCAGATATCCAAAACCTGGGAATATGCCCAGCCATTCAGTGACTGTTACTCTGCCTGAGTTCTCCACCTCACTCAAGCCCTGGACTATAGCTTCTCACTCCCTGCCATGGTCATTGGGAAAACAACCCCAGAGCCACTAACAGTGAAGAAGAGTGCTTTCTGAACTGCCATCTTTCCTCCCAATCTGACCCAGACCCCTGGTCCTAGCCCTGTACCTTGATCCCTGGTGGCTTCTTGGGAAGGTGTCTGCTCTCAGAACAAAGTTCCTGGTTGTTGAGGGCCTGGTGTGGCAAACATTTAGTTCCCTTACCTGCTTTGTAAAGTAGTATCCCCCCACCATGTTAGGGTCCCAAGCGCTGAAGTAATGCCTTATGGCTCCCAGCAGGACCAGACCCAGGACCCAAGGTCATGCCATAGCCTGGGCTCTTGCTCTGCCACATCCCTCCTCTGAGAGGGCACTGAGTGGCTTTTCCCTCACCTCCCTACTCTGGTTCCTGATCCACTGCCAGTACTGCTCTGCTTTGCTGAGTCAGATGCTGGAGCCACCGACTCAGCCTCCCTCAGTCTCAGCTGATCTAAGCCCATCCTTCTCAACAAGAACCTTCTGCATCTGTCTCTCCCTACTTCACCCATTCCCCACACTCTGGGCCTTTTTGGCTTGGTGGCACATAGAGAAGACCCTGTAAGGAATATTGAAGCAAGGTAGAATGAGCCATTCTTAAGATAGAGATTTTGTCTCTGAGGCCAACAGCCTGCATCCCACAATGCTGGAGCCTGGGGCAGATCCTTTTGAGCACTCAGGAAAAAAGGCCAAAGCAACCCCATTCACTGTTTTCCTGCCGGCCAAAGTGAAGGAGAGTCCCATTGTGTTCCCCCAGCCCTGCAGACCTAAATGAGAGGGGCACCCCAGCCCAGGCCAGTCTATTCCAAAGGAGTCTTCTTAAAGTAGTAGTTTCTTCTATGCTGCTTGCATCTCCTTTCAGCTGGTATTTAGTTTGGTCCCCAGTAAGGCTGTGTGCAGCCATTATGAGGGGCAAGACAAAGTACCCAAGTTAGGTAGAGGCCTGAACTATCTATGGGACCCTCAGCAAGCACAGGAGATGAGTATGGGAGGAAGGAGCCCTCCCACCAGAAGTCAGGGCCCTCAGAGAAGACAGCAGCCTTGGAGTAGAGGATTGAGGGAAACCAGGGATGTGGATGCCCCATGGTGGGACCAGAGGGACTGAAACAAGTGTAGAGGCCCTGTTTGACTTTTGCTTGAATATCTCCTTGACAAACGTGGTGTTCTGGCTCTACCTTGCTGAGGCATCTTCTCTCCTGAAGAGTAATCAGAGCTGCCCCTTGCCTGTAGGAAAGTCTACAGCTGGCAGACTCTGTACAGTGTACCATCTATTTGCTTATTTGTAGTTCTTACACTCTGTAGGTATGCTTATCATTTTATAGATGAGAAAATGATAGCCTAGAGAGGTAAAGCACTTACCCAGGGCAAGATTCACACCCACAGCTCATCTAACCTCTGTTCCTACTTATCAAACACTGGCATTCAAGGGCTAGGAAATCTTGAAGGAAAGAGTGCTCAACTGTGGTGCCCCTCCCTCTGTCCACCTACTTTGTTGCAGGTGGAGCAGGTATCAGAACTGGCCACTGGGTGGCATGTGATCACCAACGTTTCCCTGCCCTCTGCAGTCCAGAGCCCTTTAATTCATTTTTCCTTCTGACACATGCATGGCCTTAGAAGGCGCAAGGAAGGTGCCAAGTCAGGATAGCAGGCAGAGGTCTGTAAGAAATGCTGACTTTCAGCTGTAAATCTGTATGTGGGCCCCAGAGCCTACAGGAGCTAGCCAGAAGGAAGCATTCTGAAGTGCACATCTTTCTAGCCATTTCTTAGCCTGGAGGAAGATGTCCAGCCCCTGAGGTTTGGTAAGAATGTTTAATGGCTTTGAAAGGACTGGATCTGGTAGCAGGCTTTTCTGTTTAGCTATCATTCTTATCTCCAGGATCCTTCTCAATGTTTTTTTCTTTTCTTTTTCTGCAGGTTTCTCAGGATCTTTGCCCTTTTCTGCCTACCTCTTTGGTTTTTTTACTACCCGCTCTGCTGCTGCCATTCCTCTTTTCCCCCAACCCCCACCCCATGTGCACTTAGACATGTACACATGTGCTCACATGCACACATACCCTCTTCCCTTGAGTCCTTGTGGTTTTAAAGTGCTGATACTAATCAAATTTGAGTTGACTTATTGTCAAAGTAGCTTTTCATGTTCCTCTGAGACCCTTGGGAGTGACTATCAGGATTTGGATCTTGGCCCTAAGCCCCAGGCTGTCCTGTCCCCATTGGCAGCCCATAGAATACGAATGAAGGTCTTTTGCCAGCCTAGCTTTCTCCTTGGTTTGGTTTGGTTCTTGTCTTTTCAAAGTAAAGAACTGAGCCAAGAAACACGAACTTAAGCAGCTTATTTAACAAAGCAAAGAGGAAAGTTCACCCTAGAGAGCTCAGAGCAGGCGATCCTGAACAGGAAGGCAGAGGGAGTAGAAACCCATTAGGTTCTGCATTGTGGACTTCTAAGTTTGATGGGGTGGTTTTTTTTATTTTTTTAATTTTTATTTTATGTGTATGAGTGTATTGCCTGCATGTATGTAAGTGTACCCATGTCATGCAATGCCCCGGAGGTCAGAAGAGGGCTTCGGATTCCCCTGGAACTGGAGTTAGGGACAGTTTGTAGCAGCCATGTGGGCGCTGGGAATCGAACCTGGGTCCTCTGCAAGAGTAGTCAGTGCTCTTAACCACTGAGCCATCTCTCTAGCCCTTTGGTGTTTTTTTTTGTTGTTTTTTTTTTTTAATGATTCTTCCCTCTTGTGGTGTCCTTCTCTCGGGCACTATCTTCCTTTCATCCCACACCACTGAGAATGGGTCAAGATGTCCCTGCAGTTTTTTCTTCTTTATCAGGATATTTGCTGATTGGCATGTATTAGTCATTGAGAAAGTACTTTGGTACCCCTTTTTCTGAAAAACCCAACTGAAGCTTCAAGGATGTTGGGGTGTAAAAGAGCCAATCTAGCCGTTAGGAAACACAGCTGCCAAGATACAGCTGCTATTTCCTTGATTACCTGGGCTTACCATCTGAGCCCAGTTGGTCAATCCGTTGCTCCATAGGAAGACCACCTGAGGAGAAGATATGTGGCCGGTATACCTGGTAGTCTTAGGAAGTGACACAGTGTTCAGGCCTTCCTCCACATGGTGGTATGTAGTTGGGGACAGCATTATAGCCTGAGCAATGAGGGAAAAGACCTTCAGGGCCCAGCCCCACTCAGAGTCTCTTCCTTTTCTCACTCCAGAACAAAGATATAATGAACTTATGTGTACCTTAGGAAGAATACTTTCCTGTTGGTTTTGAACATTCTAGTAACTACGTTGGCCCACTTCTACATAGTCTCCCACTCTTTACAAGACTGTGAAACTCTGTAGAATGGCTTTTTACTCTCCATTTTCCACTTGTTCCTACCCATAGTACTTCCCTGGCCAGCCTTTGGTCCAAAATTTCCTGCATTCTACAAATGACTGGCTTAAGAGACAGCAGAGAAGGAAAATTCCCTACAGTTTCTTCAAAGCTGCCCTGGACAGCAGGAAGGAGGTGAGTCTAGAAGGCAGGTAAAAATCTTACCAGTGTCCTTGAAATTCGTTGGACTGGAAGGACTTAACACTGTAACCTCTGACATTCTTCATCCACTAATAATAAGCTGCTTTTGTTAAGTTTTATGAGCATATCTCATTTAATCCTCATACCATAGTGGAAAGTAGATATTATTCCACTTAGCAGATAAAGAAACCACATTTAAGAAGCAACTTGTTTAGTCTAAGATCCTATAGTGCTTATAAGTGGTTGGGACTAAAAGCAGCAAAACATAAGGCATCAGAGCCCTTCTTTTGTTTTGTTTTGAAATAAGGTTTCACTTTGCAACCCAGGCTGCTGTGCTGGCCTTAACCTCACTGCAGTCCTCCTGCTTCAGCTTCCCAAGTATGAAGGCTATAAGGATGAGCCACCATACCTAACTAAGACAGCAGAGTTCTTAACCACAACTCTTGGCAGCTTCCTCAGCCTGGCACACAGCAGGCTCTTATTCCTACTGCTATGTTCAGAAGCAGGCCCAGTTATCAGACATGAAAAACTATAAATTTATAAGATGTCAAGGCTTTCAGGGACATCAGTGAGTAATACCCCTGTTTCAGAGATTGGGGGGGGGCAGTTAAAGTCTAGAATAAGGATGTAACTTGGTCTGTGTCGTGGATTTTCAGATCTGCTAATCCTTTGATGGCTGGAGCTGGTAGAAGTGCCTCCTCTGAGGTGCTAGAACAAGAGGGAGACCTCCTTTGCTAGATGTTGTATGCTCCTGGAAGCTTTTCCTGTTCCCTCCCTTCCAACCCTCTTTTGTCTCTGTTTGTACACTCACATTCACATGTGTCCTTCCTTTAGGACTCTGTTCTTCCTGAGAGGGTAAATTGGATTGGCTGCCAGGGTAGTGAGCCACATTTCCGGGGTTTTCCCTGTTCCCTGTGGGTCCTCTTCCACTTCCTGACTGTGCAGGCAAGTCAGCATAGTGAAAACCACCCGCAAGAACTAGGTAAGTTCGTTGCTTGCTCACTCTACCATGTCTCAGACTCTGCCTTGTTCTGCCTTCCACACAGACAGGTACAGGATGGCTTACTGCTACCCACATTTAGTGGATGGGTCAGAGACACATACAACAAACTGGGGCTCAGGCAACAGACACTGATTGTCATAATTCTGGAAGCTGAAGTCCAAGATCAAGGTGTGCCAGGGAGGTTTCTCCTGAGGCCCCTCTCTATAGCTTCCTGTGTCTTTATTCAGTCATCCTTTGTCCTGGCTGTGTCCGAATTTACCATTCCTATGAGCACACCAACCATACTAGACCAGAACCTACCCTAATGGCTTTTGCCTTGATTATTTCCAAATAATGCCACATTCTGAGGTTCTGGGGGTTAGGACCTCAGTATATGAACTTTTAAGGAACACAATTCAGCCTATATGACAGAGAACTGGTAGGTACAGAGAACAAATCTGGTGCTTGTAGCACCAAAAGAATGGCGTGGCTAGGCCATGGGAGTGGGAGAGGCGAGGCTGAAATGGGAGGCAGGCAGAAGAGGTAAGCATGACCTTTGGTGCCTTGCTAAGGGAAAGGGTATTGATCTTCGGATGACATTCTGAGAAATCACTGGAGAGCTTCACAGGGGACGGCCACAGATATGGATGTTGCTGGGTAGAAGGTGGGCCATAGTGGGTCAAGGGGAGGTGACACACCCAGTTGGGAAGCTATGGAAATCATTTAGGAGTGATAGGCTGACCTTAGTTGCCAGTGTGCTGAAGGAAAAAGTGGCCAGATTCTGGGATGTTTTGGAGGCAGAGCTGATAGGGCTTGATGGATTGGGGAGTGTTTGCAGAACCGAGGACAGGGTGGTGTCCAAGGTTGGTAGATAATGATACTGTGTGCTGAACAATATGAAGGATCCAAGAGGGAGGGCAGAATCAGTGCTGATTAGACCTCCAAGCTGAGATGTGCACAGTGGAGCCCAGGGTTCAAGAGAGGGTAGAGATCAACTTTATAGCTATTAGTATATAGCTGACAGTTAAAGCCGTAGGACTGGGTGAGCTTCCCAGTGGGAAGGTAAAGAAGAGTGCCAGGAACTGGGCCCAGGGGCCCTGCAATGTCTAGACTGTTGCTAGGAAGAGGAGCCATCAAAAGAAGCCTGAAAGGGGGTAGCTATCAGATTTTCAAGAGGGCCCTAAAACTAAAGTGCTTCAGAGAGGAAAGACCAGCTGTGTACATAGTGCTGGAGGTTCTCAAGATGAGGACACTCTTGACAAGAGCTATTTTGTGGTGATCATGGCCTGGTTGTATTAGGCTATGGTGAGACTAGGATACAAGATGCTGGAATTAATGGGCAGAAGCAAGATAGAGTGGATTAGAGAAGGAATTTTGTTGTTCTAATTGTTTTGCCAGTTGGAATGTTTTCCTATTAGGGGGAAACTGATGGCCTAGCAAGAAAGAAAATGTCTGCAGGAATACAATTCTGGAGGAGGTGAGAAGTGGGAGAGGGAGGTGGCAATTGCACCTGGAGTAGGTACAGGAGAAATGGAGCTGAGGAGGCCCAGAAGGTAAAGGACAGTGCTGTGGGCACTGATGTTACACAACAGAAAGGGGGTGCTGAGGTCCTGGTGGATGGAGGTAGGAGGTTGCCTTCTGAAGGAAGGAGAGTTTAGAAGCCACCAACAGCAAGCCCTGGGGGAAAGGCATAGACGGGTGAGGGTGGGGTATACCTTCAGGAGAAGCTTGGCTTCAGTTAGAGCAAGAGTGTGAGAGTCAACAGAGCCTTGCTGGTGCCAGCCCATTCGGGAGGGAACAGAGTAAAAAGAGTGAGGTGACATGGGGATAAATGAGAAGATATGGAGGTCAGAGCAGGATGGACTTCTGAGAGTGCCCAAAGGAGTCAAGGCTTGCTGGAAAGCAAGTTGAACAGGAGCCCTGAAGCAGATAGGTGGAGGAGGAACATGGGGACTAGGGTCGGTGCTCTGGCCCCTGCCCACTCTCTAGCCATGTCACATAAAGCCTCCATGTCCCTCTGAAGAATGTAACAGAGAGGGCCTGAGTGGATGGTGGAGAAGGGAAACTGAGATTTAGGAGCTTTGGAGGAGATAGGGTCACCTCTGGAATGACCCCTGGAAGGGGAGAAGTAGGCAAGGGAATACTAGGCCCCTGGTTACATAGGCGGAAATGTGAGACATTGTGCAGGGGTGTTCACAGCAGAGGAGGAGGACAGGGCAGTCTGTGGAAGGAACAATGATGGAGCTGGCAGACGCTGGCAACGTGAAGGCTGTCTGTGCACAGTGTTTCCTTTCCCCTACAGCCAGTGGACAGGAGGTTCTCCAAGCCATCCGGAATTATGTTCGGTTCTTCTTTGGCTGCCGAGACTGTGCTGGCCACTTTGAGCAGATGGCTGCTGCCTCCATGCACCGAGTGAGGAGCCCAAATGATGCAGTTCTCTGGCTCTGGACTAGCCACAACAGAGTTAATGCTCGCCTCTCAGGTAAGGAAGTTTTACTTCCAAGGCTGATGGGGTATTGGACCAGAGATGGGACGTACTCACTGTCTTCTCAATGAAACCCTGTGCTGCTCAGCTCTTAGAACCCTTTCACGTGTCTGTCAGCCCTATTACCCAGTGCCAGTGTCATTAGATCCACTTTCTAGAGGAAACTCAGGTGGTAATACCGTAAGATCCTGGTCTTCCAGTCCCAGTACTCTTTCCTCTGCACCAGGACCCTTCTGTCTTGCTTGTAGTCTCCTCTGCCTCCCCTGCTCTGCATTTTGACTATTGGGACCTTTCTCAAGTTAACAGGGAAGAGAAAGCAGGTGTTTTCCACCTCCAGAGAAAGGTCTCATCAGAGAGTAGACTGGAGAAGAGACACCAGGGACTGGTTCCTAGAAGGGGCAGTTGTCTTCTGAGTTGCCCTCACATCATTTTCTTTTCAATGCACATGGGGGCATAGTGGGTCCTACACACAGAGCCTGATAGGGGAGCCATCTTTGGAGAGGAGGCTGCATGTCCAAGGAGCAAGGAGTGCCTCCCAGACAGCCCTCGCTGGGGAAGAGCAGGTTAAAGCAGCTGGATGGAGCAACTAGTGCTATGGGCCCCAGGCTTCTACTTGGTCCCCTCTCCTGGGGTTTCCTAGTGGCTTTTGAAAAGAAGACATGTGTCTTCTCTGCCAGCTTCTACCCTCTACCTTACCCTTGGCTTGAAACGCTGCATTTCCTCTAGCCCCATGACCTCAGCAAACTCCAAACTGCCACTGAAGGCTCAGGAGCCTGCCTTTCCTTGGGAACCAGAAGCAAGACAGTTCCCCATATTCTAGTGGGGTCTTTCAGATCCAACTAACAGCAGGTACCTGACTGCTTGCTAAATCCTTGCAATTGACTTGACTACAAATGACTGTTGTATGTTTGTATTATCTCTGTTACTACAGCTGCTGCTTCCTAGTTATCAACAGCTTTTCTCACTTATTAAAACTTTCAGCAGTGCTTCCTACAGGATGGATGTACTGATTAGCATTCCCTGTGCAACAACACAGCCTGGGGTTCTAGCAGCGCTGCTGCCAGGACTGTCAAGTGTTCCAGGCTTCTCCAAGTCCCCCTACCCAGCCCATCCTACCATGCCTACCTGAAGACTATAGTTGCCCCAGTGAAAATAAAGTAGCTTTGCTATATAAACTATGGAAATTTTCAGGAAAAAACTAAAGCAAAACATACTAGCAGACCAACCAAAGATCATTTAGGATAATACACGATCATTCTGAAGGTACCTTTTCCAATATCTGGTCCAGGATATAAACTGGCAGTAAAGTTACCAAGGGAGACAGTGGGCCTGATCACCACTGGGAAGATACTAGAGATGCAGAGTTCTAAGGTGTGTGAGTAGGAACCCTCCTCCTGTATAGAGGCACCACTGGTTGAGCTCACACTATGGGCCAGGCACTGGACTGGTTTGTTTGGGGGTTGCTTGGGTTTTTGTTTGTTCGTTTTGGTGGTACTAGGGACTGAACCTAACATTCTTCCACTGAGCTATAGTCCTAAAACCTTTTTTTCTTTCTTTTTATTTTGAGACAGAGTCTCACTAAGTTGCCCAGACTGGCCTTGAACTTGAAATCTTTCTTCCTTAGTCTCCTGAATAGCAGGAATTGTAGACCTGTACCACCAGACCTGGCTGAGTGATAGATTTTACGTGCATTTTCATCTCCCATCCTTTTGAAGGCTTGGTGAGCCTTTTCTGCAGACCAAAAAGCTGATATTCTGAACAAAAGAAGTCTGAGGTTCAAGGCAGGCCATAGTGTTACAACCAGACTATGTGTGCTTCCCTCCCCAGGTGCCCCGAGTGAGGACCCCCAGTTCCCCAAGGTGCAGTGGCCACCTCGTGAGCTGTGTTCTACCTGCCACAATGAACTTAGGGGGGTGCCTGTGTGGGACCTCGGTGCCATCCTCGGTTTCCTCAAGGGCCACTTCTCCCCAACAAACATCATCCTAGGCTTTCCTGCAGCTGGACCAGCCCCCCAGAAGGGTACACGGAGTTTGACAGCCACCTCAGAGCTGGAGATGGATGTCCTAGAATTGGCGACCAGAAGTTCAGTGCTAGGTCATGAGGAGACTGATTCTGCAGAGTCTCCTGGAACCATTGTCCTAGATGTTCCGACTAAGAAGCCTGAGGCAAGTGGCCCCACAGAACTGTACACAGGCCTCAGGATGAGTGGAGCTGCACCAGGGCAGGGGCCTCCTGAGCACATGGAAGAGCTTCAGGGGGATAAACTGGAGCAGCACCAGGGCCAGCAATACTTGAGCAAGCGAGACACTGGGGCTATATTGCTGGCTGAGGTGAACCACCTCCAAGGCCCTTTAGAACTGAGGCGAGGGGGCCGAAGCCCCAAGCAGCTGGCTAGCATACCTGAAGGGGATCCAGAGGCCCAAGCTGTATGGGGCCAAGGCCAGTGGCTACAGGTGCTAGGAGGAGGCTTTTCCCACTTGGATATCAGCCTCTGTGTGGGACTCTATTCCCTGTCCTTCATGGGCTTACTGGCCATGTATACCTACTTCTGGACCAGGCTGAGGGCTCAGAAGGGCCATACTGCTTACCCTGCATCCTGAACTGTCCATGGAGAGGGCAGGAAAGGAAGCTGGCATCCATAGGGCTGGACCTTGCCCTGGCCTCTTCTTTACTCCTTGTCCCATATCTAGCCTAGGAGGATGGAAAGTCCGGGAAAATCAGTTGCTCCACTGAACCCCTTGGGTTTGCTGTGAAGGATTCCATAGACAAAAGACAAAAATGGTCCCAATCTCATCTGATTAGCATGGGGTGCAGCAGCCTCAGGCAGGGGGTTCAGGGAGGCTCAGGCCCTAGCTTCAGCACCAAATTCCTGTTTTTCAGCTTATGTGAAGTCCTGCTCTATTCTCACTGAAGCCTCAATGTTTCCTGATTAGTCTTGGCCTTACATTGAGGGAAACAAGCCCAGAGTTCACAAGGTTTCTCATCGAGAGGAGAGGAATACTGGATACTCCTGGGCTGGATAGGCTGGAGTGGATCTCCTCATTGCATTCTGAGGCTCTATCTACTCCTCTCCCTTCACGACATGAAGAAAAGGATCACTTCTGACCTCTCTGGGCTACCCAGTCTCCAGCTCCCCAGACCTGAATGGGGTTTGGCTTTAGTGGTGGATCTGGAATGTTCAAGAAATCATTCTGGTCTCTCACATTCAGACTAGGTTTCTTCTGCAGGAGTGTAGGTTTGGATTGGTGTAGACTTGCCAGGCTGGGTGGGTAACAGCTACTGGGCTGTGGACTGTGGTGTTTACTCATGGGCCTGATTGAGATGGGGACAGGTGACGCCAGGATCTGTAGTGCCTTAGTTCTGGGCTGGCTATGAGAGAGAGAGAGAGAATGAGAGGATGGGCTCTTTCCTTCTCTGAGCTGGGGCTCTTGTCTTTTATTTGGTTTCCAAAATCAATGCTAACGGTTGGATGTGGAGGGTGCTGGGTTGAGGACAGCAAGGGGAGTGTTTCTCTCTCTCTCTCTCTCTCTCTCTCTCTCTCTCTCTCTCTCTCTCTCCCTCCCTCCCTCCCTCCCTCCCTCCCTCTCTCCAGGTTCCTCTAGGTTCCTCTGCCAGTGGGTAGACATTGAAAGGGTCTGGGGAGAACAGTGCATGATTCTTACTTTATCCCCACTGCTGTGAGGGGTGTAGAATAAATTATTTTTGTTAAATCAGCATGATGTGTTTGACTTGATTCTGTGTTTAACTTGATCCTCAGAGTTCTGTTGTCCAGGTCTAAACAGAATGTGCAGCATCCAGCCTCACCCAAGGTCCAGTCAGCATAGTCCTGGGCACTGGAGAAGGTGCTTGCCCCACTGCCAACAAGGTACTCTGTGCCCTAGCCCCTGAGTTTCCAGATAACACTGGGAACAGGCCTTAGTGATTCTACTTCCTACTTTCTGTCCTTCCTGAGAACTCCTGCCTGGGTGTTAGAGGAGCCTGTCTGCACCTGCCCCTTTTAGCTCTTCCTCCAGGACTGAAAGGCTTGTTGCCCAGCTGGCCCGGGCTGGCTGCCTGGCCAGGAGGCGTAGGCCAAGATTAGAGTTTGCTCCTAATCCAGCCTGCTGGGTTTTACAGGGATTAGAGCAGCTGATAATGAACCTCATTAAAGGGGAGCAGGAGCTTCAATCCGATTTGGGGTTTTCTCTGACATCTTCACTCAGCTCAGATGGCCTCAGCACTTGGTACAGTAGGTGGAATGCCAAGGACACACCCTGTGTTGGGGCAGCTGGGATGGGGGAGGGTGCGGCAGGCAGGGCATTTGACCTCTTTAGCTGCCTGGCTCCTGGGGTTGCTGCCCTCTCTGCTTGAGCCCCACCCCCACCTTCCTGGGCTGCCTCTGCTGGACCTTGGTTGGGGATCTGAAAGGCTGGCAGACCAGCACATGATCAAGCAGGGTGAAAAGGTTTCTAGGGACCAGTGCCTATGGATGCCACTAGTCCAAGACCACTGAATTTCCTTACCAAATGCCCACCACCACCTGACATCTTACAGAATGTTAAGTAAAGAGAATTTCAGTCCTCCAGTCACCAATTTTCCAAAAGCATACATAGGTATTTAGGATTGGAAATGCTGTTGTAGGCTGTTCCACAGTGTTTACCCAAAGGACTGAGATAGGAGGAAGTTCCGTACTTGAGATACTTGCTGGGTATGGGCTTCCCTCCACGCAGTGAATCCCTTTGCCCTGTCCCTTCTGATTGATAGGCAGGGTGGGTCTCCCGCCCCACTGCCTTTTACCTTGATTTCCCCAGGGCTCATGTCCAGGGCTTGGATAAGCCAGCCTGCCCACCAGCTGGTTCCCCTCCCCCACCCATGCTGCCATCCTGAGACTGGAGCTTGCTGTGTCTTGCAAGCCTTTCTAGGCTGCTTCTCTGTCCCTTCAGAAGCTCACTGGCAGGAGAGGGTCCTTAGGGGAGACCTGTAAAGCAAGGACTCCTTTTTTCTGGGTTGCCTGAGGATTTAGGATTTCCTCAAAGAAGTGACTGCCAAGCTGGAATTTGAAAAATGAAATGTCAGCAAGGAAAATGGGAAAACAGACAGACAGAATAGAAAGCACATGTCCAGTGCAGTAAAGAAAAACAATGAATATAAAAGAAGTATAAGCAGAGAAACCACAGTTTAAGTATTTCTTGTGCTGTGCTAGGATATAGTCAGGGGGTACCAGACAGACATAGTCCCTGCTGTTACAGAGCTTACATTCAAGAGGAAGGCTGGTAACAACTGAGGGGGAACATCTAGTTGTGACTAACGTATTCTGAAGGAAAAGACTCCAACAGGGAGAGTATCAGAAGGCTTCTCCAAGCCAGGAGGTGGAGAGTAGAAGCTGAGGCTAGAGAGGCCCATGTGTAGGACCATAGGAACCAAAGTCCAAGCGACTGCTGCAGTCAGCATTCTTGAAGAAAGGTGCCTACCTTTGACCAGGCTTCTCCCTCATAGCCTTGGTATAGGGTATAGGAGCCCAGATGCAGTCCATCTGGGAGGGTACAGCCCTAAATCTGGGCTGGGTAGGGGAGTCAAGTTCAGTCTTAAAGAGAATAGATCTGAGTATTATGCCTGGGTTTGAGTCCAACTTCCACCATTTTCCAGCTATGTGACATTGGGCAATTTAATTTGCTTCTTGAAGACCCCTTTTCCTTTGGTGTCCACCTAACTTACAGACTATTGTGTCATACTGAGTATATTAGTTACTTTTCTACACCATGACCAAAAGTGACTTAGGGAACAAAGGTTTATTTTGGCTTAGGATTCGGGGAAGAGTTCATAATGGTGGGGGAGACATGGCAGCTGCAGCAGGAAGCTGAGCGCTCACATCTTCCACCACAAATACAAGCAGAGAGAAAGTTCCAGGTGGGGTGAGGTGTGAACTTTGTAAGACAGCTCCAGTGACATGCTTCCTTCAGCAAGGCCATTCCTCCTAAAGGTTCCATAACCTCCCCCAAACAACACCACCAATTGGTGAAAAAGTGTTCAAATATTTGAACCTATTTGGGATCTTTCTCACTCAAATTACCACACTTAGTAAACAATAATTGCTTAATGGTAGCAGCCCACTGTTCATGTCAGTCTCCTGTCTTGCCACACAAACTCAAGGGGCCCTATTGTGCTTAAAGGGGGTGCCATTTACACAAGATAATCTGTGAAAGTGTCCCTAGAGCTGTACCTCCAGGTGACAGCTCTTGAGTCACTCCAACAGGTGTTCAGGGCCCACCTGAGGTGTTGAATGGAAATGGTGTCTCTTCAGCCTTGTCTGTCACAGTAATGCTGGAGATCTTCATAAAGTGGGCTCCAAAAATGTCTTGGATTTTTTAAAAAGAAATATTTATACTGGGGCTGAGGGGAGAGCTCAATCAGTAAAGTACCTGCTGTGCAAGCACCGAGGACCTTAGTTCAAATCCCCTGTATCCACATAAAAAGCCAGGCACATGGTGGCACACATCTGTAACACCAGCACTGGGGCGATGGATCAGGCAGATCCCTGGAGTTCATTGGCCAGCACAATGGCCAATAGTTCATTGGCTAGCTGAATCGATGAGTTCCAGGTCCAGGGAGAGATGCTGGCTCAAAGAATAAGGTGAAGAAGCAATCAAGAAATCACCTGATGTCAACCTTTGGCCTCCACATGCATTCACACACACACACACACACGCACACACACACACACACACACACACATGCACACACACACACACCCATATAAATACCACTTACCACATACACAAATGTTTATATATTAAATTATCAATTTTAATATTTTTGCTCATTTAAATCTCATTTAATCCTCCAATGACAAGTGGAACAAATGAACAAAGTGAACAAATAGAGATTTAAGAAGATTAACAAATATCCTGTGCCCTTTACCACCACCAGAATAAGTATATTTGCCTCAGTTCTCACAAGTGGCAATTTAGGGACCCAGAACCAAAACCCAATCCATCCCCCAGCTCTGGGGGCCATGACTTCTCTGCCTTCTTACACACACTGTTCTAGCTTATGTTCCATTCTATTTAAAGCAGCGACAGAATTGACTCAGATATGTGGTGGTGTTGGGACTACACATGCTGCCAGCCCTGCTTCCCTCAAATAGTGGTATTTTACCATTTTGATTTTCCAAGTTGTAAATCTGGTGATTGACACCCCTGTATAGACCATATGTGATCATTTCTGAGGTATGTGCCATGTGATAATGGCAGGCATGGAAACACCCTCCAAGAAAGCTTCCTTCTCTAGAGCTCTTGCTCTGTTCCCTGCAGGAGTTAGAAATGCCCTGTCTCAGGCCTATGGAGGGATAGGAGAGGATGGGAAAGGGGCCCTTGCTTTTAGTCAATGCTTGTTAAAGGGTCACTAGGCAGCTGGTTATGACCTTCGGTAGACCATTTACTTCTGGGTCTCAGCTTCCTCATTATTAAAATAAGGCCTCAGGGGCTGGAGAGATGGCTCAGTGGTTAAGAACACTGACTGTTTGTACAGAGGACCCACATGGCAGCTACAAACTGTCCTTAACTCCAGTTCCAGGGGAATCTGAAGCCCTCTTCTGACCACTGCAGCATTGTATGACATGGGCGCACTCACATACATGCAGGCAATACACTTACACACATAAAATAAAAATAATAAAAAATATTTTTTAAAAATTAAAATAAGGCCTCAATGTTGGGCATGGTGGTGCACACCTTTAATCCCAGTGCTTGGGAGCCAGAGGCAGGAAGATCTCTGTTCAAGGCCAGACTGGTCTGCATAGTGAGCTTTAGGCTAGCTGAGGCTACAGGGAGATCCTGTCTCAAAAAGACCAAAAATAAATAAGGCCTCAGCCATAGCTTGCTGGTCCTGCGTGAGGTCCTTGTGTCTCTTCCTGTGCCTCTAGTGATTCGTTGCTAGCCCAATTGGGAGTGGAGGTGAGGGATTGTCCCTGCAGGTCCTCTGTATTAGTTGCTTTTCTCATCATTGAGACAAAATACCTCACAGAAACAAGGGAGGAAACATTTGACTCATAATTTCAGTCCATCATGGTGGCATTCACCATGGTGGTATCCTTAGTGGTTGGAGCATGTGATGGAGGAGGCTCTTCACATTTTAGCAGATCAGGAAGCAGAAAGCTCAGGCTGGAAGCAGGTCCAACATTGAAATGAAAGCCCCTAGTGGTCTATGTCTGCCAGCTAGGCCCTACAGTCCAAAATAGTGCCACCATCTGGGGTTCATGTATACAAACATAAAGACTGTGAGGACATTTCACATTCAAACCACAATACCCTCCTTCCAAGGAAAGGAGTCCTAACTGAAGGAAACTACAGCCCAGGTGATTTGTATCTTGATGGAACACCAGAACAGCTGGCAAAGGGGAGCCCTTACACCAGCCCCCCAGACTCAGGCAGGATCTCCACGAGCCTCCTTTACAGTAATTCTGGAGCTACCAGACTGGGCCTTCTTGGTGTGGCTTCCCTGGCATCTTGCTCCTGGTTCATACCTCCCATTGCTCTGCAAAACTCTTCTGATGGAAGCTGCAGAAGCAGCAGGTAGGATT